GCCTAACACAGATTTTGCTGATTTGTTGAGCTGCCAGGAAGTAAGGGAAATCTCCAAAGCTGGGAGTGGGGCAGGTTGAGGGGACTGAGTTGAGCATTGGCATGGGAGGTGGGGGAACTGTTTAAGCAGAAATAAGGACATTGAATGATGAGCGTTGATCACACCAGAAAGGCAGACTTCCCCAAAGGACAGGTGTCCAAATTAGCTTGATGCATGAAAACTGGTCCTTGAGCTGATTTTGCCACAATTGGAAAGTTGAACTTGGGACTCAGGATTAACCTGGGGAACCTGGAAGAGAGTTGCTTCCCAAGAAATAGAAACATAAATCTTCTGGAGGAACACAGCCTCAATTTAAGACCTCAGATTTTGACAGGTTAAGGTCAGCCAGGAACGAGTTTCAACCCAAGATCACTCAACACATATGGAAACAAATCACTAGGAATGAGAGCCAGAATAAACAATAAAGTTAAATTCCCAGGACTTTCAGATATTAGAATCACCAAATACAAAATATACAATAACATAAATAATGAGGATGCAACACAAAACCAAGCCAATTTTTTAAAAGCCAAATGGAATCTAAAGAAATGAAAAAACTATGTAATTATTGACACTAAAAAAATTAAATGTCTGTGTTAAACAGCAAATTAGCTATAGTTGAAGAAGGAATTAGTGAACTGAATGTAAATCTGAAAAAAAATCTATACTAATCTATACTGAAATATAGAAGAGAGAATCATGGATATAGAGAAGGTAATGAAATGTAAAGGATATACAGAGGATAAAAGTAAAATGTTTAAGATACATCTAAACAAAGTACCAGAAGGAGAGAACAGGGAGAATCCAGACAAGGCAATATTTAAGGAGAGGATGGTTGAAACTCTCCCAGAGCTTATGTAAGACATGAATCCCCAGCCACAAGAAGCACATCATATACGAAGCAAAATAAATCTCTAAAAATCTACCTCAAGATAGAATGAGGTGAACTTGGAAGAACCTTAAAGACAAAGGGAGTATGTTAAAAAGTAGTCAGAAAAGAAAAAAAGATTGTCACAAAGAGTCCCTGTAAACTTAATAGCAAACTTCTCAATAGCAGTCATGGAAGCGGAAAGACAGTGGAGTGATACTTAAAGTGCTGAGAAGAGAATAACTGTACAGTTACAATTGTAGACCCAGAAAAACTATGTATCTTTTAGGAACAAGGGCAAAAGAAAAGTTATTTTCAGATAAAAGAAAAATGAAAACAGTTTACCACCAGCACTGCCTACAACAAAAGGAATTTTCTAAAGGATTATTTCAGAAGAAGGAAAATGAATCTAGAAAAAAACTTTGGAAGACAAGTAAGCAAAGAAAATGAGGAACATGTGAGTAAATCTAATGCAGTTATACTTAATAAAATGATGAAAGTAATTATGATGTCTAATTTGTGGAGATTTAATTTAAAAAAAAACAAGCTAAAATATAAGGAAATACATACTCATGTAACTTAGAAGAGGAGCAATAGTAGTTAACGTCCTCAGGATTTTGTCTGTTGGTGGGAGGTTTAAGATATTGCTTGTAGGCTTTGTTAAATACGCAAGGTAAAATTTTATGAGTAACCATAAAGAATGGAAATAGAATGTGTAATTTCCACAGCAGGTGAAGGGCAAAATTATGTAAGAGAAATGAACACAAGAGCCTTCTTTTCATCAAATAATAAAAAAAGAAAAAACCACTAAGCATGTCATTGTGAAAGCTTTGTAGAGTCTTCAGGTATCAAAATTGGGCTGGGGAGGGTACAGTGCTGGCAATTCGACAGTAATATTTAAAATTGGGCGGAAGAAGGAGAAGGCGTGTAAGAAGATTGTCGGTGGCATTGTTAGTGGCTGAAGGAGCTGAAAGGTCTGTCAGCACAGGCTGAGCTTTGTCTGAGCCTCGGGCAGAGCTGGACCAGCTAATGCAGGGCTGACAGGTGCTGACAGATACTTCTGTCCATCAAATTGGGCAGGTGTACCACAGCTCACAGAAGCCTTCCTCCTGGCCCCAGCCTTGGCCAGAGCAGTTTAAGGGGAGCAAGCCAGGAGAGAACATGGGAGAAGAGCAACAGGGTGTCTGCCCGGGCAGCACCCAGGACAGCTACCAGCCTTCCGCGCCCGACTTACCCTGGGAAAGGAGGCTGAGGCGGAAGAAGCCGGAGGAAGCAGACCCAAGCACTGGCCTTTGAGGAAAGACCTGGCCAGACAGAGCTGGAAGTTGAAGGGAAACAATGGATGACATAGGCCCTGGCAACAGGGGACAATGTGCTCTAACACACGTTTGAGTTAATCAGAGTGATTAACTGCAGTTAATCACTGCCTCTTCCCTTCCTCTGCAAAACATTACAGTGCCCTGGCCTACACCCACCTCTGCCCAGAGTTCCCCTCTGCCATTTGAAAGTGTTCACTTATTCAACAGGAAAACATGTTTAGAGGAATACACCATCAATTTGAAGAGACATAACAATGTCTAAGATAATAGCTAACATTTATATCCTCCTTACTCTATGCCGGGAACTGTCCTAAGGGCTCGACATGTAAGATCACGCTTAATCTTCAGGTGCCCAAGACCACACAGCTAATAAGAGGCAGAGCTGGGATTCAAACACAGGCACTCTGGTTCCAGGGTTTTCACTCTCAAATATTATGCTCCTTCTGAGGGGTTGGAGGATATTTTGCCTGGAGAAGTGAGAATTCCAGTTTGGTGCTATGGATGAACGTTTGTATTGACCACCACCCCTTTTAATTCATGTTAAACTCCTAATCCCCAGGGTGATGGTATTTGGAGATGGGACCTTTATGGAGGTAATTAGATCCGTGAGGGTGAAGCCCTCATGAATGGGATTAGTGCCCTTATAAGAAGAGACACATGGAAAAGATGATCTCTCTTTCTGCCACCTGAAGACACAGCAAGATGATGGCAAGCAAGGAGGAGACCTCCACCAAGAACCCGACCGTGCTGGCATCCTGATCTCAGACTTCCCGCCTCCAGAACTGGGAGAAATGTCTGTAGTTTAAGCCGCCAACTCTGTGGTATTTGTTACAGCAGCCCAGACTGATCAAGAGAGTTGGGAATTGATGGGTTACCTCCAAATATTTGAAGAGATACGTATGGAAGAAGGGTTTAACTTATTTTGTATGGACAGAGGAGTTTGGAATTAAGAACATGACTCTTTTCAACCTACTTTGTAGCAGTCAGAGGTCTCCAAAGAAGAAATGGGCTTTCTCAGAGGGTGCTGAGTTTACGACTAGAGGCTGAACACACCCAGTGTTAATATGGAGAGGATTTCAGCATTGACTTGTGGTTGAATGAGACCTTCTAGAAAAATCTCTTCCAACTCTTGAGAATCTGTAGGATTATTAGGGTCAGGACTAAGAGTTCAAATTCAAAAAACTAGGTGTTTCAGACTCTTTAAACTTTTACAACAACTCCATTTTCCACATAACTTTGTTCCTGGGCCTCTTGGAGCCAGAATTTGCATTTGTATATTTTAAGACCTAAACACCTGGATATCCATCCTTCAGAGGTCCGCTTAGGCATCACCTCCTCCAGGATGTGTTCCCCACCCCATCCCTAGTACGAGCTTAGGTGTCTCCCTCACCCCATCTGTCCTCCACAGGGCCACTTCTTACACTGCCGGGAATTGTCTGCTCCATCACCAGTCACTCCTTGTATGAGTGCCCCGGGGCTGCAGTAACAAATTCCTACAAACAAGGTGGCTTAAAAAATAGAAATTTTGTTTTGTTTTGTTGAGTTTTTTTAACTGAATCAATTTTTTTAATACTTGATTTACAATGTTCTGTTAATTTCAGGTGTATCACAAAGTAGATTCAGTTACATATATATATATATGGATGGATACGTGTGTATGTATGTATATGTGTGTATGTGTATGTATACGTGTGTGTGTATATATGTGTATGTATGTATACCTATGTGTGTATGCATGCATATGTGTGTGTATATGTGTGTGTGTATGTGTGTATATATATATATATATATATATATATATATATACCTTTCTTTTTAAAACAATAGAAAATTGTTGTCTTACAATTCTGGAAACTGGAAGTCCAAAATCAAGCTGTAGGCAGGGCCAGGCTCCCTGTGCAGGCTCTGGGAGAGCACCCTTCCTTGCCACTTTCTAGCTTCTGGTGGTTGCTGGCAAGCCTTAATGTTCCTCAGTTTGAAGTTGTATCTCTCAGATCTCTGCCTCTTTCTTCACACCGCCTTCTCCCCTCTGTGTCTATGTCTGTGTCTCTCTCCTTTTCTTATAAGGACACCAGTCATGGATTTGGGGTCCACAATACTCCAGTATGTCCTCATTTTTAATTGAACTAGTTACATCTTCAAAGATCCGATTTCCAAATAAGTTCACACTCAAGGGGACTGGTAATTAGGTCTTCAGTACACCTTTTCAGGGGACATAATTCAACCAGTAGACCTCAACCTTCTATGCTCATGAAACTGCGGGTTCTTTGAGGGCTGTCTCTTTCTCTCACATATTTTTATTGTGTTTACCATGAATCATGTTCTCTTCATGACACTGAGGACGAGTCACGGTCAAGCTTCCACTCTATGTGGAGATGGACAATTTAAAAAGTAGCCATTGAATGTTGAAGCCAAACAACCATATTTCTGTGCATATGGATGGATGGATGTTTGTAAATCGTTGATATATACTTGATGAGGGATATTAACATGGACAGTAAAAAAATAGGGTAAATTATTTCATTTCATGTAGCCTGGGCTTTTTAGCATATTTACCAGAATCTAAAACTTTGGTTTCTCTTTGTCCCTTGTAAAAGTTTGTTCTCTTAGTACTTGCTTTTTTAACTCTCAGTTGACTGCTCCCCCAAAACTAACCTCTCCCCAAATATTTCTTAGAATCAGAAAATAAAGCTTGTAAAATGTATATTTAATCTTTTATTTAATTCAACCTTGCAACTAAAGAAGAAAACATTCGTGCCCCCTCTGTCTTCCAGGGCAGTGTCAGTTCCTCTCAGTCTCCATTCGTCCCGATGCCAGGTGAGTTACCGCCCCTCAAGGGGCAATCACCTCCCTCCCTTTTGAATTTAAATCAGGCATTTTGGTTTCCATTATTTCATAGCTGCCTTACAGCACTTTCAAAATTTTGTTGCTTTAAAATATTTATTTTTTAAATATAAAATCAGGGAAGGCAGACCTCACTCAGTCATTTTCGAATTTAGAATGCATTCTATCTAGTGTAAGTTTACTGGGCAGAAGTAATAGCATTAGATCCTTGATACCATTTAAAAAGTCTAAAATTCTATCCCTATGGCCTGATAGACTATGCACTGGCTTTAGAACAAACAGAGAGAGATCTGTGGGCAGATGGAGGAACTACCATTTATTGGTGCTTTCTATATGCCAGGCACTTAGTTAACCATCTTACATTCATTTTAATACATATGTCTCATTAAATACTCCTATAGGGATGGAAAAAGAGCATTCTTAATAATAGTTTGGAGCACTCTCATACATGTATGCACGCGCGCGCACATACACACACATTCCTTTCAGGTCTCAAACTCAGAAATAGCATAGGCTTTCTCAGTAAGTTTGATCATTTTCAGAGCCGGATAAGGGAAAGGAATAAAAGCACGAGAAGATGCCACGTATCTAAATGTCTCTATGCTGTGTTTCTCAACTGTACTTTGTCGCTGGAACCTGGTTGTATCTGCTCCCTTCTAAAGAAGAAAATTCCGCAGCTTCTCTTACCATCTCTTCCTCCTTTTAAAGAGAAAAAGACATGCTTAAGAGAGCAGAAGGGTTTTTTTTTTCTTTGTGTTTTTTAACTTGGAAATTGGAAATGCAGACATGAGATCCTGGAAGACTTGTTTACTTATTCTTCATTCTGTTCTCAGCCTTAACCACTGTTGTGGCTATAAATTTGTGGTGTGAAACAAAACCTTATTTATTGATATTAATTTTCACTTGCACAGATTTTTTTTTCTAGAGGAATATGCTTATGATGAAACCTCTAACTACAGATTTCAAATTCATGAGCGGTTGGGGGTTATAGGATTTTAGATGAAAGTGGAGTGGGTAGAATTGTGCGGTAAATATCCACGAGGAATTTTAATTTTCTCTGAATGAATGAATACATTTACATGTAACTGTTGACCACAGTATTACACTACTGGGCTTACAGAAAATGTGTAAGACACAAGCTGTGCCCCATGGAGCCTGCAGGTTGGCTGAAAAGAGGGCTGTAACTCAGGTGAGAAAGTCGTGAGCACCACACGAAGTGCCACATCAGGTGGCAGGAGCCAAAGTGCTGTGTGTGTAGAGTAATGTGCCAGTGAGTCGGGATAACAAAAATGATCTTAATGAGTCTGTCTCCTCTCCCTGAGGACAAGTGGGCAGGGTGGGCAAGGACAAAGCTCAGAAGTGGTCCACGGTGGTTAGGGGAAGGTGAGAAGGAAAAGCACCTGAGTCTTCCTCCCAGCTCAGCCTCGTTTTTGCGACCTCAGGGTGTAAGCCACACCTACCACCAGGTCTGAAAAAATCAGTTTCACAGACCTTGAGTCTACGCCCCTGAACATGTTCTAAATGATGAAGGGTTTCCCGCTACAACTGAACTACGGACTCAGAAAGTCTTAGAAAACACATCTCTTCTCCTCTGGGACTGTTTCACTGGCTTTGCCCTCAATGAGATTCTTTCCAGTTTCATCCCCCGGTTTCCACCCCAGGGAACTTTCTGTGCCAGGCATCTCTTTCTCAAGCTTGCAGTGTCCAGGTGAGCTGAGTGAGGGACCCGGTATGGCCACGAGAGGGCATCAAACAACACCAGACTCATCATAGCCAGAAAACACATTTTCTGTGATCCTCAAACGTGGCTTCACAGAAACAAAGCAAGCAGACCATTTCTGGTGCCTGCGAGGTACAAGACACGGTGTTAAAGGTCAGTATACAAAGAAATAGAAGAATACAATCTGCCTCTGATTTGGGGTGAGGTCACAGTCTCACCTTACCTAGAGATACCGAATCTCAGATACCATGTCCCAGACGCAGCCTCTTGTTAACGGTCCTACGTCTGTGGGGTCAGAACTCAGAAACTGTGAAAAAGATGCTTCGTTAAATAAAATGTAAATGCTAAGGGATTCATATTGTATCTCTTTAAGCCCAGTTCCTTCTGGCACGGAGAAAGTGCACAGCAAAAGTACAAGTCTGAGACTGGCTGAACAGCTAGTGCATCTTCTAAAGTGAACTCATCTCAAAGGCAGAGCAGGCTTTAAACCTGTCAGTTATTGGGGCTGGCGCAGGTCAAGGAGGTAACGTCGCTGTATTTAACGCTCCTCCAGACATGCATCTATTTATCCGTTGGCCTCGGAGTCGGGCCTGCGTTAGATACGCCGTTTCACACGTGGAGGGGCTCGGCTGCAGCAGAGCCGCCTTGAGCTCCTCTGAGGAAGTCCTGGCCGCTGTGTCTTTCCCCTGGCAGCAGGTTCGCCGGTGATGTCCGGTTACTACGGCGTCCGGAGGTCCTTCCTGTCGGACTCGGACTTCCACAGCACTAAGCAGTTTGCCAGCGACGCCTGCAGCCCGGGCGTGGCGAAGCCCTTCGCCTGCGAGCCCGCGGCAGGGCAGGGCCACGCGGCGCTC